GGCTTGGAATGCCACTTAGAGACTTTGCACTATTAAAAATGGGTGTGGCATAAATGACATAACGTGATCCTTCTTTTGCAGTATAATAATATAAAAATATCATTCTTTATAATAAGAAAACATCATTTATTGGAACTTATCCAATAAGTTAAAGCTAAATTTTTTATAGTTAAATTTCACGTGTATTTCTAAATAGACAATCATGCCATACAACAACATTGGTTGTTGTGCTATAATAATAGATAATAGTATAAGACTCTTCATTATAAGTTATATCTTTGATTTTTGAAATTTATAATATCAGCCCTCTTTGCAATCCTTTCTTCTTCAAATGTTTGTAGATCTCTTAATTCTACCTCTTGCTAAACCATAGGTTTCATCTCTTGTACAAATTGATTCATCATCTTTGGCTTTGAAATATTGTTCATTAGAAGACATAAGAATTTGAATTAAGACATATAATTTTGCATTGACTTAGATTGTATAAGATTATCTAATTGATTGTTTGCTAACTTCTCTGCATTAATAGACCAAAATTGATTCCTAAATTTGGTCTCAAATCCCTCTCAAATATAAAATCCATCTTGAGCTCTATAGTTTTAAGTTTGATGTTGCCACCAAATGACTAATGCTCCTTTGAAATAGCTAACTACATAGATAATTTTTTTGATGGTATTGGCCTTAGATAGTTGGAGGTATTTTTGCATGCTAAAGAGTCATTTGCATACATCTTCTTGCTTTAAAGTCCCAAAGTATGCATCGAACTTACTTAATTTCAGCCTAACAGATATCAACTCCCTTATCCTAAAGGCTTTCATTTGCTCTTATAGAATAGCTATTTTGTTTAAAAGGTGTCGTATCTAAGCTTCCATATGAAATGACTCTCCCATATTTCTTATGCTACAATTTCCTTGCATGACTCTTCTACTATAACGCCTTCTTTTTTTTCAAATGACTTTTTAAAAGTAGCTTGTGGTTGCTCCAAAGCAATAACTCATGTGATTAAAATAATTGACTTTCAATTAGATGGTAGCTATCAATACACTATCAAAGAAAAAACTTATATTTCTTTTGATACGAATGAAACAAGATTGGAATCTTTCTAAGATTTAAAATCCATCCAATCTATAGCAATATTAATCTTATCACAACATAGGACAAAGCAGACTAAAATAAAATTGAATAAAATTAAATAAGATGGTATATAAAAAATAGAATAGGACAAAAAAAAATAAAACAAAACAAAAAAAAAAAATATGCAAACTAAACTTTATTGAGAAAAAAAGATTGAAGCCATATTTGACCAAATATTCGAATGGCCTCAATCAATCCTATTTATACTTTGTCCAACTATCTTCAAACTTTCTAGAATGTACTTAATGGTGGATTCCATCAAGATAACTATCTTAAGTTATTTTAGAATGTTCCATAGTGGATCCTATATAAACCACCAATCTAGCCCCAATGCTAAAAACTTTTCAAAAATAGCTCCAACTATATATTTTTATGTGCCAATAATATAAATATTCCATTACATGCACAATCTTTGGCCAAACACTTACTTGTGGTGCTACTTTGTGAGATTCATGAAGTGATGTACTACTTCTTAATTACTTACAAAGTACTTTCTTTGATCTTTAAATACTCTATCTTATTGCTTCCTCAATAATTTTAACACCCTTGTAATAATATCTTATTTCTTTCTTTATCACTCTTCTAACACTTTGTAATTGGGATACTTTAATGAGTATCATTTTTTGGTGAGTATGGGCTCTTCAAATTGATAATACTATCAGATAAGAATGTGGTTACTTTGGATGGATAATACCATGCCATCCTTACTTTATTACTCACCAAATTTCATAACCAAATATGTCCACCCTGCAAATCGACACTCAAAAACTCAAACTTGATTATTGTTATATTTTTTCAAAATCCTAAGCAAAATGCTCCAAATATTCACCATAATCTCTCAAAGTGTATCATGGGTGGATTCCAAATGCCGTTGGCAATCAAAAATCATCATATGTGACTCCAACAATATATTCACTTATACAACCAACAAATTACATACATTCAAAAAACTCACATAATAATCCACAAATAAAATGTTGATTTAGCAAGATGATAGATTCGATGCTTTAAGGTATTTAAAATAGTTTAGAAAGCAATCTATTTAATTAAAAAAAGTGAAGAAGAGAGCAAGAATAAGACAAAAACATCATACAAATACATATCAATTGCAACATTGTATTCATGTCAATAGCCACCTTGAAACTCAATCATAAAATTATCATTAATTGAAGCAAATATATGCAATAGCCATTAAAAAATTGATCACAAAAAATTCCAATTTGCAACCTTATTTTAACAATGAACTACAAGTTTGGCTTCAATTTTAGCTGTACTAATTCCCTTCTAATATATAGCAAATTTTTTTATCATCTTCTTACATTATCCTTGTGGATGCAGTTGTTAGAATCTTTAAAGATGGTCTTGGTGGTATTCTCCTCAAAGAGCCTTAATAATATCTTCTAAGACTCAACGTTCTTTTATACAAATTTAACCTTTTATTAGTTCTTGGGATCCAAGAATGACTTTAGAATTTGCACATTTTAAGATGATATGTTTAGAGAAGCATTCATAGAAAAAAATTCTCATGATGTCATGAAGGTATAGATATTTTGAAGTGAATACATTATATTTAGTACTAAAATAATTGTAGAGATTACTTATTGTTGAAAAAGGCTTGAAAAGTCTTACTAGGTTATATAAAATACCTACGTGCAAGTGCTCAAGAAAGTGATTCTATAAAATGTTGGTTGTGTTGTGAGCCATGTCGATGAAAGTAGATTTCTTTATGGATGAGGCTTTAAAGTTTATCAACCAAATTACTTGTTTTTAATCCTTATAAAAGTTTAAAATTTCATTTTTCAAGAAAACCATTAAAAAACTTAATCAGAGCAAATGTATGCAATATCTCATCAATGCTATAGGTGAAGAAGAAGTTAGGATTTCAACAACTATTCTTATAAATAAATATGGCCCTAAACACTTCACATTCCTCAAGTTCCCAAAGTTTCTTATCAACAGCCAATTATAATGCATTTTTGTCTCTTTATCTTATATCCAAGCTAATATATATATATATATATATATATATAATTTTATAATTATTTAATAATTAAATATAATTTATTATAATTTATATTTTTTCTTTGTAATTTAGAATATATACTTAATAAATCCCTTGAATGTATGAATATCTTGATTTTTTTTACCTTATAACATTTTGTGAAATATTCATTGGTTTTGAGTTCTTTAGGTTTTTTGTGTCTTATTTTAATAATTTTGATGAATATCGTTGTAATTTATGAAATTTAGGAACACAAATTCAATACTAAGTCAGCACAAAGCCTTCATTTATTATAGTAGTAAATATTAAAGAAATTGAGCATGTTTCTATATAAATCAATGATTAGTGCCAATTGTTTTGTTGTTTTATTATATATTCAAATCATAACACATAAAGATCTTCAATCTTTACTAAAAAATAACTAAGTTGGATTTAACTTTAAAATTATAACTTAAAATATGTTAGAATTAATACATGTTGTCTAATCACAAGACATTAAGTTAAATAATTGCCAAACTCATGAACTAAAAACAAAACTTGCTACCACTATGTAACACATAAAATCAAATAAAATACATACTAATTAAAATATTCTAAATAGATTCAAGATTGTTGCACAATTTGCTTTACAATTCTAGAATAAAGTCTTTAAAAGACTCAAATTTATACAACTTCTACCAAAAAAAGTTAAAATTTTAATTTAAAAAGAAAGAGAGAAAGAAATTTAGATACCAAACCTAATACCATGTATAATAACTTACATGTGGTATTTTGTTTGAAAAACCATACAAACTTCTAGTATTTGGCACTTGTACTTGCACATAGATTATAAGCCCTTGATCTTCCAAGTTGTCCATAGATTGCTCCAGAATATTACTCACAGGCAGATAAAATTATGCATAATTTTTGCAACATCAAAGCCACATCCGTCTACCCTAAGTTGATGGTAATAGGTCGCTGAATGGTTTCACTTAATCCTTTCTTATTTTGTCACCCACAAATGACGCCAAACATACATCTCTCTCTCTCTCTCTCATCAGAAAGCAAAGAAAAATTAGCTTTAGTCACTCAGACCTTAGCAGTGTTGTGGGTTGTTGTTTTCGCCAATCCCTGTCGTCGTCTTGTTCATCAGAGCATCGCGGTTTTTGTCCACTTGCACGAAATTAGATGCGAGCTCTGCTCAGATCTTTGGTGTTGACTGTCTGACTAAGTGATGTGGGCTAATCCTGCCAAATCAGGCGCAGCAGATTCGGCAGCCAAAAGCCTCCGCGGAGCACAGATTCCGAAACCCGGTTTGAATCGATTTCGTGAGTGCTTCCAGCGATTCTGTCTTGTTTCGCACTGAATCCCAGGTAAACCTACACTTCCTTCTGTTTCCGCATCAGAGTTCGTTGTTCTTCACTTTGTTTTCACATGGGGAAAGTTAGAATATTCTTTCTTTTAACAGCTGCATTGGAAACCCTAATTTTCATGGGATGCGTTGGACTAGGTCGTGGAGATGTCATCTGCGTCTTTCGGAATGCTGCACCGACCTGTATTTCTATCGCCGTTTTAGAAGGCGTACAACTTGTCCTATCCGAATCCAGTGACTTCAGAAGGGTTTTGTGGGCGTCGTTTCCCTTCATTCCGTCTCACAATTGGAAAGTTATTAATGGATAATGGATTTTAACGTTATAAGAAGCATCGCGCACTGGGCGAGTACTAGAACTGTGTCTGTTGTCTACATGCCATTGGCTAATACATGAGGCTTACGTGTAACAAGCTGTTGCACAGGTTGATATAGGATGATGCAGCTCAGTGGTTGTTGATTGATGCGAGATACCGTATACAGATTCAACTTCATGAGACTTAGTTACACACGCAATTGCTCGCAATCAATGCACATTCCATGCCCAACTGCGGAGTGCAGGTAACGGGATCAGTATTAAGAAGAAATGAATAACAATGTCATACATTGACACCTCGCAGGATCCTAAATGTCTTGATCCTCGTGGTAAGAGTGGAGACCGGTACTGAGTCATACATTTGAAAAGCTTTGGCATTAGCATAAATCGCAGAGAACTGACTAGGTTTCAAGTGTGAATGTGTAAGGGTGTGTCGCAGCGTTGGAATACTATCTCAAAATCATATTCCCGCCCAAAATGGGCATCTCAGTAAAAGAAAGAATGTCAGATTCAAAAAATCACTCGGTGGAAGATCAAGAGACTCTGGAAGCGAGGTCAATGGAAGGAAGGCCCCTAAGCTTCAGCTGTTGTCGCATCCACTCCCATCCTTCCTCACCCACCTCACCTCCAAGACCCCGAACGACTGCTCCTCCTGTGCAGCACCCCATCTTACAACAGTCTTCCAGAGAGAGGTTGTTTAGAACTCCATACAAAAATCCGCTTGCAAACAAGTCTCCCGCTCCAGTGGTGTCGACTGTGGTTGTCTCCACTATAGCTGGTACTCTCACAGTCTCGGTGCCATGACGAGCAATGCAGCCCTTTGAGCCCAGCATTACCACGGCCCTCTCACAGTACTTCGACAGGAAATTCAAGCAGATCTCGGGACATGGGTTGGCTTCCGCCTTGATAAGCTCCCTCGATTCGTCTTCGTTGGCGAAAACAAGATCCACTTTGCCGGATTCTAGCAATCTCATGAGAGTGGGACGAAAATTCCTCACAACCTCGAAGCTGGCTAGATCCATGGATACTTTCACACCAACCTTCTTGCACAAGTCCACTGCATTCTCAAGAAGTTCCTCCCCATAAAAACCATACCCGTTAAGAACTACCCACTTCGCACCCTGGAAGTCTTTCTCGGTCAGCTCTTCCGCTTGAAGGCGAACGGCGTTGAGAAAACAAGGCCGCATGGTTCGGTTACCCTCTGCATCTACAAGGCAAGCGCACTGGGCTGTCATACCCGGAACAGCCCGCAGCCGAGACAGGTCCACCCCGGCGTGAGCCATATTTTCAGCAAACATTTGACCTCTGTCGTCGATGCCTCGAACTCCAACCAGCGCGGTCTTCACACACAACCCATGCGCCAACCCCCTGATGGTATTCGCCACACTCCCGCCGGCTAGGGTTTTAACTCTTTGCTCCGCAGCGTCAGTCGTGCTCATCAGAAAATGAGAATTCACCTCGCGCAGGATATGATCCAGCTCCTCCGTCGTGACGCGCATGGATCCCCCTCGCTCACCCGGAACAGCTTCCAGCAACGACCAATCCACGCGGGCGACATGGTCGACCAAGGCTACAGGCTGCAGCCCAACAACAGCAGGGTGCGACACCTCATGCACAAGGGCACCATTCTGGTCACAACAACCACCATTCTCAACTCCATTGACAACACCATTCTCAACTCCATTGACAACACCATTCTCAACTCCATTGACAACGCCATTCTCTCCTCCCGCGTGCAGATTCCCCAGCATGCCACGGTGCACGGCTTGCGCCTCCGAATTAGGGTTCTCAAATTCGGCCAGCGTAGGGCAACCTCGCACTGAGGCTGATGTTACACCGGTGACGACGCTGCCGCCGCCGCCGCCGTTGTCGACTACCCCATTCTCAGCTCCACTCTCCAGCGAACTTCCACCATTCTTCACAATTGAGCCGAATTGGCTGGATTTGGAGGCATCCGAGCTCACAGAGGCGGCATTCATGGAAGGTTGGATGGGCACACCCTGAGTCGCTGCCTCCGAGAGGATGATTGCTCCCATGGCTAGCAGGCAAGCAAGCAAGAGGGGGCGAGCGGGGCAGCTCCTCCTACTCCGCAGCAGCGGCCTCGGACTGCGAGCGAGACTACGGATGTGCCTCCGTTTCTGATGCCTCGCGCCGTTTTGTTCCTGCGGTCACCGGCTATGTCCCGTCGAGAGTCCTACCACCGCGCCAGGATGACTGGTTTTTTCCGGTAGAATGGTCTTGCGGGGTTGGAATATTTGGATTTCGGCTCCGTCCTGGAGACTTGAGTGGCACCCGGTATTTGACCCTGAGGCCCGCGATTTTGCTCAACTCCAAATGTGTGCAATGGTAGAGTTATAGTTAGAGTGTAAATGAATGTGAGCATATGCACGAAATAAAATTCTGAAATTTTGCAATGAAAACCATCAAATTTTAGTTTAGTTACTAATAAATTTTATTATATTAAAATATTATTCCATAGAGAATTATAAAATCTATATAAATCTTAAATCTTATCTATCACCATTGATTCAATTATAAGAGCTAGCATACTTTTTTTGAATCTTTAATTTTTGATAGATTTTTCATTCATCAACACATTATTTAATGTAAATAAATATAATATTTGTATTGAAATTTTACTATAATTATCTACAATTATATTTACATCAAGTATATTTTAAAGTCATTGTATTTCCTTGAATCCGATTTATAAATAAAAGAATAACATAAAATTTTAAAATCTATATAGAATATTTTTTTATTTTTTTGTCTTTCTTTTTCTTTTTCTTTTCTTTTTTTTTGTATTAAATCATATCTAAAATTTAAAAAATATTTATTTACAAAATATATCAAGGTTTTTTATCTCTATTTTATAAACATATAAAATTACTAAAATATGGTAGAATAATATCATTTTTTTATAAATTTTAACTCTATCTAATAAATGCCAATATAAAGATAATTATCTAAAAATAAATAAGAAAATATTACAATAGAATAGAAGTTTAGATAATGTGAATATAATTTAAGTTATTATTCAACCATCAAAGATTTAAGAGAATTAATGCTTGAAATCAATTTTGTTACTAAGCTCTTTTGTAAATCAAGTTTGTGATCTAATAATATAGAATTTGTAGTATGAAAACATTAACATCTAGCTCAACTATTAACATGTGGATATAATGACTTGGAGGCATAGACATATATATATATATATATATATATATATATATATACTTCAATAATTATATAAATAATATAAGTAAGAAAAAATAAATAAAAGTATAAATTTTAAAAAATATATTATAGAAAAGCTTTTCAAAAGCTTCATAGATGCAACTTTGATTTTATATATATCTATAGGTGATTAGCAGGTTGAAAACTAGGCCAATAAGTTGGCCATGTATCTCACATATTGGCTACTTATAATACAAGTTGGATATGTAGCACTTATACATGAAGCTTGCCTTTTAAATTAGATACATTATTACAAATTGAACATATATTGGAGGTCTTTTAAAACATTGTTATATAGCTTTTAATTAGATAGTATATATAGAGGTAAGAGTGAGGCCTTCTTTACTCTTGTCAATTCCTTTCTTGCTTCTATTTTAATTTTAAGAGTTTTTAGTATTTTGGTCTTTATCAATAGCTATTATCGTTTTTTTTTAAATATATTTTTAAATCTCTTTTACATCTTCTTATAAGAAACATCTCACTTATTTATTTACATTCTTTAAGTTTTGTCTTTACTAAATTGATAAGAGTATACTTATAATATTAAAGTTTTGTCATGTTTTTCTTAAGAATAGATTTTTCTTGGTAAAATATAAGAAAATTAGAAGTTGTGGATTATTGACTTCTAAATTAATATTATTCTTAGATTTTTATTTTTTTTTTCAAGTCATCTCTTCTGCTTGTCTTGAGTGGTATTAAACATCTTCTTTTCTATTCTATTATCATTGCAAAGTTTTTGTGAAAAGAAGAGTACAATGACACAAATGTAAGAGTAAATGAAGAAAGTAATGTTTACTATGCATTAACTTAATTTACCACCACAAGGAACAACAAGATTAGTAGGAAGCAAAGATATAAAAATTATTAGAATTGCTTTAATATCTACACCAAATCATATTACTTCTCTTATGGTGGAACATTATTGAAGCATTTAAAAACCAAGAATTGCCTTGCTTGAAAAGTTTGATGGCATAATATCAAAGTTTTGAGCATTCAATAATCAAATAGAACTAATAATTGAATGTCAATCTAAAAGCAATCTAAATCTAGTATCACAAGTTAAGTTTGTTGAAACACTAATTTCAAGTTCTATTTTATCATGGTTTTTAATTTTTCTTAAATAACATATTTTAATATTAGGTAATTTGGAGGTTATTTTGATGAAATTTCAATCCATGTATGTGGAATATAATGCAATTTGTGTTCCAACAAATAAGATTTATACTTTGCATCAAAAAAATCAATCAATAATATTATATGCTTCAAAAAAAATTTAAATAATTGATATTAAGTGGGATGATATTGCACCCATCAATCAATTTTTCTATAAATTATAATATGAGAGAGAGTTCAATGACCATTTGGACCAATGTATATTTTATTAAAAAATTTATTAAAATCGTAATAAAACTTATATGTATCTTTTACCTTTGATATTCAAGTTTGTTGATTAATTAAATGAAACGAAGATCTATACAAAAATAAATGTATGAGAAGCATACAACTTGGTACTTATGAAAGTAGAAGATAAATGAAAGATTGCATTTCAAACTACATGTGGACATTTTAAATATTATGTCAAGCCTTTTGGACTTACAAATTCATTAGCTACTTTTTAACATCTTATAAATGATTTTTTTTTGAGAATTTCTAGATGATTTTAGCATCTATAATCTACAAAATGTTTTAATCAGCTCTAAGAATACAAAAGAGTATGAACTTCTGATTTGTCATGTATTACAAAAACTTAGAGATATTAGACTATATACCAAGATAGAAAAGTCTATATTTTATACCACTTAAGTTAAATACTTAAGATACATTATTTCAAATGATGATCTTATAATGGATCCTAAAAAGTTCAAAATATCATGGATTAAAAGATTCCAAAAGCAATAAAAGATATTTGTTTTTTTTTAGATTTTTCAATTAATATTAATTTTTTATCAAAAACTTTTCTTAAATTATGGCTCCACTTATACCTTTGAAAAGTAAAGGAAAATTTTAGTAACTTTGATACTTAAAAATAAAAAAATTAATATAATATTTTAAGTTTAAAAAAAAATGATTTTTGTACCAATCTTATATTATATTGATTTTTTAAAAAAATATAAAAATAGATACATTGAACTTTGCCTTAGATGTAATATTGTCATAAATAGGAATAAATGACAAACGTCACTTAGTATTTTTTTATTCAAATTGTTTTTGCAACAATCAAGATCAACTATAAGATCTATGACAAAGAAATTTCTATAATTTTAGATTCATTTCAAGAATGATATCATTGTCTAGAAGATTCTTCTAATTTAATAATTGATTATACAAATCATAAAAATCTTAGGTACTTTATGCCAAATCTTATTTTGAATTATTAATAAGTTTATTACAGCATATCTTTATCAAAATTTTCATTCAATATCACTTATGAGCTAAGAAAATAATAAGGTATGACAAATGTTGTCCTTAGATGTTCTTAACTAATTTCAAAAGAAAAAAATATAATTTTTTATTAACATCAAATTATTCTTTTGAAGTCAATTTTTTATTTTTAAATGATAAAATCAACATTGATTATTGATTCAACCTTTCTTAACTAAGTCTAATCAAATATGTCTTTACATTTTCTTACTTGTAATATTAAAAATAATTCTATTGAATCTCATAATATTTCTAAGTTTGAATTTAAAAGAATCTATTTTGTTTCAAAGAATATTTATATATTTTAGAAGATGAAGTAGAATTATGAGTTCTTTAAGATTACTATAACTTTCTAGCTATAAGGCATTTTTGAAACAATAAGATCTTAGAATCAAACTCAAGAGAATTTTGGTGTCGTTAAATGTGAAAAGCAATTAAAGACTTTGTATAATCATTTGATGTTTGTTTAGGATTCAAAACTCATCACCATCAATTTTACAAATTTTTTTATTTAGATGATTAAACATATATATTTACTTTAATAATTATATAGATAATATGAGTAAGTAGAAGTATGTTAAAGTAGAAAAATATAATAATAATTTTTAGATGCAACTTTGCCTTTATATGTGTATATATGTGATTGATAGGTTGAAAATCTAGCCAACAAGTTAGCCATGTATCACATATATTGACCACTTGTGATATAAGTTGGACATGTGTTGCATATGTTGACCATTTGTGGTATAAATTTGACATGTGGCATACATGTAGGAAGCTTGTCTTCAAAATTATATACATTTCTTATAAGTTGGACATGTTATCATGATGTGGATCTTTTAATAGTTGAATGATAAGCATTTATATGTATTGTACTTATCTAAGATATACAATAAGTTTGATATTAATGGTTTATTATTTTAATTTATGTATTAGTTTTAATTTATATACTTGTTTGTTTGTTAGTAAAAGACCAGCCATTAGATTGATAATTGGGAAGGTTAGAAGATGAAAATAAATATAAGATACATTGCTTGTGATAGATTCTCATTATAGAGTCATCTTGGTTATATTTTTAAGGATGAAGATAAAGATAAGATAGACTATAAGTGGTAGATTTCATCTTAGAATCTTCTTGATGACTTTTTTGGATCAGGATAAAAATAAGAGGGACCACATGTGGATTTTCATCTTAGAGACATCTTGGTGATATTTTAAGGAATTAAGGTGACTTAAAGGAGGAGAGAGAAGTACTCTGAGAGGTTATAACTTGATGTTTATGAAAGCTATGATTATGAAACTTACAACATAATTATTTTATTAAGTTAAAAATCCATTCACAAAGTTTTAAGATATTATGATATTTGGTTTAAGAAATATATACAAAAGAATAATTAAAGGTAGGATTGTGACAAAAAAGTAGCAACAAGAAAATTAGCTTAGATGATTTGATTGCTATAAATGATTTGAATCATCAATCATTTTGAAATTTAGAATATAAAAGAAGGGATGAAATATGTAATTTATTGCAAAAGGTTTCAAATCATTTTATTGATTTTACATTAAATTATATAAGTACAACATGAAATAGGTCCAAGAAGATGATAGAATCTAACTAAGACATATATAAACAATAAAAATCTCTACATCGACAAGCTTTGTGCTTTTTTAGACCAACCACAAATTTCTTGATATAATTATATAGATAATATGAGTAGATAGATCTAGATTAAAGTAGAGAAATTGGATAAAATCTTGTGGATGCAACTTTGCCTTAATATATGTATATAGTTAATTGGTAGGTTGAAAACTTAGCCAATAAGTCGGCCATATGTTGCATATATTAGCCACTTGTGGTATAAGTTGGACATGTAGTGCATTTGTAGAAAGCTTATTTTTCAAATTATACATATATTCTACAAGTTGGATACATATTGGAGGTCTTGTAGAACATCACCACATAGCTTTTAATTAGATAGTATGTATAGAAGCAAGAATAAGAACTTGATTGTTTTGTCACTGATATGCGAAATTATGAATTACTTTCATATAAGAAGTCAAGGCCACACTATTATATCTATAGCGTGGTTTTTAGATCAAAATTAGAATAACTAAAAATGTATATTTTTTATATAAAAATTTGTTATATTATCAATTTAAACAAAGAACAATATAGATTGTGAGTACTTCTTTTGTAATTTAAAAGTGGAAGTTTAAAACTTGCTATGGATCCCAATCTTTAACTTTAATTTTGTACAATATAATTTTAGCAATAAGATTAATTTAATAGGTGCTTGAAGAGAAGGCTATACTCACTTGATTTGAATATACATTGTCAATGAAACCTCTACCTGAAGTTCAAATTCACAAGAATTAGCACTTCTTCAAGAGCCAAAGTGGCCCCATTTTAAACTCTACACAAAACCTCTACATTTAAGCAACCTCCCCATTAACCTCTACATTCTAATTTGCAGCACGACATCCAAGCTTGTGATTAGATGTACCACTTGGACAATAGAATTCCCTTACTCTTTGGTAACAATATTAACTCTTAGTATTGAAGAAAGTTTTCCAAAAGCATGAATGTAATTATTTGTTTAGGTTAATATGTTGTCTAGGTTCCGATCAAAAAGCAGGGGGTGATCCAATATTCCCCACTGATCAATCCGGAGATGCTGGCATTCTAGATCTGGAAATAATGCGCATCAAAACAAGCAACTTGTTGCTTGTGGCTGTTGAATGATCCATCTTCACCTACCACATGATGGAAATTTTCGAACTCAATCCATCGTAATGGGATGAGTTTAGTAACACATGTGACGATCTATACGTGTACACAGTCCAATCAATTAAAGTAGGAGGCAAGGCAATCTCATGAATCGGAATGAGCATGAGTCAAGTTCATACAGTCTAATGCCCACGACGTTGGCAAAACACACGACGTTGGCAAAAGTACACATGCTATAGGTAGGCCATCCTGAAGGTTCTGAAAACAATCACAATGCACCAAAAAAAACAAAAAACAAAAAGGCTTGACCGGAATTGTGATCGCTTCCATTTGGAATCTGTTCAGTGGGAAAATGCATTCTAACATCTACTCATCATCCACTTTTAGGTTCCATAATTGTTTTTAAAAAACAAACCTTTCTAGCGACCGAAATGTTACAAAATCGTACACACTAAACTTATCCTACACGAAGACCTGGAACTTTAAGCTGAACACAACAGAATAGAAGCTGCTCTGCACAAATTTGAAGGATAAATGTTACAGGATACTCCTTGGATGAGCCTGAGCACAAGCAATCCTAATTCTGGATTCCAAATTGCTCGTATAATTGTCGAGAGTAGAGACCACCGCCTCCAGCTCCGTCACTTCTTGATCAATTTCATCGATCTGCTGCATATACTCGGTGAACCCCTCGTTCTTTTGCTTCAGTCGCTCCACGAAAACCCGAAGGCCTTCTGCGAAATCGGCTTGGTTATCATGCTCACTGGCCACCCTCAAGTTCATTCTCTCCAGCAATTCGTATTCACTATTCGCAGCCTGTCATCAAGACACAGAAAATTTAAACCCTGTTTTAACGATCACTTGTTCTTCAAGGAAACATAATTTTGGTGAAGTAAAAATAAAAAGCTGTATCGTAACTTATCAGAAGCAAAATCGAATGAGGATACGAGAAGGAGAAGGAGCAGCTTTACCTGAAGCTCTCCTTGCACAAGAGTAGTGACGTTCAGGAAGAGAGTCTGCAAGGCCTTAGCAAGAGGATCGCCGGGGGCAGCCTGAGGAGCTGGAGGAGCGTGAGACGCAGACGGCGATGGCGCCGCATCGCTAGAGCTTGCAGGAGCGTCCTCTGCTGGAGCGGAAGCTGCTTCTGTTGCTGCTTCACCAGCAGACGAATTGACGACGTCGGTGTCTGCCATGGCAAACCGATCGACAAATCCTAAAACCCTAATTTGCCTCAAAACTACGAATATCTTTAGCTACACACAAAAACTGAGATCGAGCTCCAACTCCGCAGCGGGCTTCGATAAGTTTTCATCCAGATGGCATCCTATTTTCATCTACTGATACATAATCCACTGTCTCATTCGTGATCCATCTCGGTTTCATCCTTTCGTACGCCATCCATGATCTCATCCAATAATATCTCGTTTTCGTCTATTCAAACTTCATCCGTGGTTAATCTCATTTTCATACATCTGTCTGTCAACACTCGTGGGGTCAAATCAGATCCAGTAAATGGTTTATTTTATTTTATCATTGGTGGAGGTGTTGAGGGTAGATATATCTTTATGCAAGTACCATAGATATATAGATATAAATATATAGTTTAAATAAAATGTATTGAGAAGAAAGTTTTATATGGCTTCAATGGTATAAATAAAGGAGAATGTTAAATAGATCCATCTTTTTACTAAATCAATCCACCCTTTCTTAATTATCATTTGAAAAATGATGGTTCCCAATCCTATTCTCTTTGTTTTCAACTCTCATCCCAACATCCCTTGTTCCCAGCTTTGCCTTTCTTTGTTCTCAACTTTCATCATGATCCTTCTTATTTCTAATTCCTACTCCCTCTATTCTTAGCTCTCATTCAAACTCTCTTCTCTTTCTAATCTCACTTAGAGGTTTCGCCATCGTATTGCAAAGCAAGAAAGTTGAAATAAACTTAAGTGTTTTACTACTTGGTGGGATGAAGATGCAAGAATGGAGGTAGAAATGGCAACATTAAGCACATAGCAATGACAATGTGTCATACGCATATACATTTATCCTAATAGTTACTTATGTGATTAGGTAGGACTAGATAAATATAGATTAATTTCATAAAGTTTTCTAAAGAAGCTTTCTAGAAGCTTCATATATGTAGTTTTGACTTTAGATGTATTTATAAGATAGAAATTTGGCCAATAAGTTAATTATGTGTTGGTAGCTTATGGGACAAGTTAACTCCATGTAGTAGCTTGTAGAACAAGCTAAATATGTGGCACATATATAGATAACTTGCTTTGCAAGTTAAGACATGTGGCTAGCAAAGTCAACATGTTTTGAAAGTCCTAGAGGACATCGCCACATAGCTCCTAGTTAAGAGTATATAGAAGCAAGAATGAAGCCTTCTTCACTCTTGTCAATGCCTTTTTAGTCCTTTATCTAATTTTAAGACTTTCCAATCTTTTTTTTTTTGGTAATAGCCATTCTAGTTTAATATTACATCATCTTTTGAGTGATTTTTTAGTTTTTTCAGTGATACAAGAATATATTGAGGATTTTCTTTCCTCAAGATTCATATCCTTGATAGTTTGAAAAGAGTATTAACATACTATTTCTGTCTTGTTTTAAAAGTGAATAGATTACTCTACTTCTATTGTTGTATTTTGAAGATTACAAACTATCTATCTATAAACAAAAAAATCTTCTTTTCTAACACTAATCTTTTCCTTAAAAAAAATAGATTATCCATCTTTGTGGAAATTTTTATTAGAAGTTGGAGATTACCCTCTTTTAATTTAACTTTTTGAATTTTTTTGAGTTCTCTATGGAAGGAAAGATTATGGATGCTACTCTTAGGAGAAGTAAAAATAGATTTACAACTCTTGTAAATCTTCATGAACTTGTCAACATTCTAAGAATAAAAATCGCATGTATTTCCAATGTGAATTATGGAAATATTATACCTACGCATATGGAAGAAGTTCAAAGTCTATGGCAAGAAGTTGTACAACGGAAGGAAGGAAGTAGATCAATCTTTTAACCAAATCCAGGGAGTTTTGTTTCTACAAGTATGATGGAGGCAAGGATTAATATGCCTGAAAATTTTGATGGAACAAGATCAAAATTTTGAGGATTTTTACTACAAGTCAAGCTCTATCTAAAGTTACATCCTTTTCAATATTTCAATGGATTTATTCAAGTTGGATTCATAGGTACACTTCTATCAGGAAGTACTCTCTCCTTGTTTGAACTTTAAATATAAAAAGATTTACGACTCCTTTATGATTTGAATTCATTCCTAGAAGTATTTATGGCTATTTTAGGAGAAATTAATCAAGAAAAAGTAGCACAGATCAAGCTCTTATCTTTACAACAAGGATCACGATCAACTACCATATATACTACTGAATTTCAAAACCTCGCTTGCGATATGGATTAGAATGACAAAGTACTTATCAATCAATTTTGATATGGACTAAAGGATAGCGTCAAAGATTTGTTATTAACAATGCCAAAAGTAAAATCTTTAAAAAAAATTATTACTCAAGCCATTGCATATAATAATTGATTATTTGAAAGGCATCAAGAACAAAGACTTGGTTGGAGAGGAATAAGTCAAGTAATGGTAGCAGCTCTCAAGTTTTCTAAAACATATTCATCAAGGCTAGAACCAATGCAAATTAATACGATATGTTTTAAATCCCTCACGGAGCAAGAAAAGACTCGACGTCGCCTAGAAGGTTTGTGTTTATATTAAAGAGAAACTAAGCACACTACTCAATATTATCCAAAGAAGTAAAGTAATTACAAAATGAGAAGTACAAAGAAGATAATGTATCAAAAAACAAGTTCTTCCAGCTATAATAGGAACCATGCGGCTAGAATTATATGCAATATCTAGTAAAGGTCTTTTTTTCTTCTCAAATCCTTTACTTTGTTTTACAATAGATGTATGTTTAGGACCTAAAAATCACAAAGTCTTTGTCTTATTAGATTCAAGAGCCTCAACTTGTTTTATAGACAAAGATTTTGTCAAAAATCAAAAAATACTTTTAGTCAAGAAAACTAAATCTATACATATAGAAGTTATAGATGGTCATTCGTTGTCTTTTGGAAATATTACCCATGAGACTATTCTTTTAGATATAGCAATTAAAGATCATAACAACTATTGTTCTCATTGTGTTCAAGCTTCAGTATACCAAAGCAATTGAACTAATATGGGTGGGTTCGAACATGAGAAAAGACTGGTTATATGAATTGGATTTGTTACTATCACAATTGACTATACTCTGGCTATTTGAAATCAATTATCAACTACAAAATACCAAGGCTTATTACTTCCATCTTAATTCAATCCATAATCCATTCTATGACTATCAATTCAATAATACTTCTTTCAATTATAACTCTTCATAAGCAAATAATAAAAGCGAAGAAAACAAAGAGGTAGCACCAAACTTACTCCAACTTATTACTCTCACAGTCTGGCTCTCGGCTTATGACTCTCACAATTTGGCTCTCGGCTTATGACTCTCACAGTCTAGCTCTTGACTTATGACTCTCACAGTCTGGCTTCGATCTCTCTTTCCTCAACCTATTTATCCTATCAAAAAGATGATCCATCGATGAGCGGATTCCAAAGGTTATGACCCTTTGAATTCTTAACCATTTATTCCACTAACATCCTACTGTTACCAACTAAACTGCCTAACCATAAGTTTAATTCTCAAGGTTATCAATAACCAAACAATAACTTACCACAAAGTTTATTTGTCTATTCTACATAGATGCGCTCCTAATTGTGCAGCGCCCTCGCAAACACACAATTGTTACCTATTTAAAAACTACTTAAGAAAACTCTAAAATGGTATTGTTTCTTCTGGCCCATCCAATTGATCATTTGCTACATTATTGAATGTACGTTCCACCAAATCTGGTTCTAATTGCAAATCTTCTTCTTCCTCCTCCAGTCTGTCCATCGACTCCTTCCTCAACTACTTCAATAGATCTTCATTATACTCTCTCAATTCATGGACTTGACCTTCCAATTTCAAGATTTGGACATCCCGAAGTTCCAATTGTTGCTATTGCTGACTCATCCATTCTGGAACATCTTCAATCGATACTTGTGACCGGCTTCTCACTATTAACTCTTAATTGAAACTATTACTCTCGAAAATATAAGAAATATAAGAAAATGGCACTTCAACCAACCCACAATAATACCACAGAATGACTTCAACTGGTGCCCCACTCCTATTCTTTTATTATCTGGTGATAATGACAACATGTTATCCATACTGTCCGTAAAAGGAAATGGGAAGTAATCTTTCTTGGAGGCCGCATTAAGTTTCCAGAAATCTTGACAAATTCAGAATTTTCTATTCTTTTTTGGTACTATGATGATTGGAGAAACTCACTCACTATTCGATACCGGGTAAATAAAACCAACTGCAAGAAGCTTGTCCAATTCCTCTTTTACTATGAGAGAATATTTAAAATTAAGGCGATATTGTGTATGCCATATCAATTTAGCATTTTCCTCTAAAATGATACAATGTTCACAAACTTCAACTAGAATTCTTTTCAAATCCACATACGACCATACAAAAGTACTTTTATGTATTAAAAAGTAATCCATCCAAATTTCTTTCTTCTTATCTTTTATACTATCGTAAATCTGAATGATTTGGGGAGCCTCCCCTGTACCTAAATGAATTGGTTGACATCGTGGAATTTCAGGAGTCTCTAGAATAATCCTCTGCTCAATTCAAGAATCTTTCATAAAATCGGACACATTAAAACTTTCCAACTCTAGTTCCATAGCACTAACGTGATTAACATTCCATCTATTCATCTAATATGCAATCATATGATCAGAATCGTTAATAACATCTGGAGGAACTAAGTACTCTCCCGGTCCCCTACACTGATATTTCATTCTAGTGTGCTTGACAACTTGTCTTGTAGGAGGATAAATTGAGTCAGGTGCACCAATTTCTTCTTCTATAGATTCATCTTCACAATCCGACGTGAATTCTAAACTGGCAACTTGAGTTTCTTCGTGATATTAGACATGGTATATTTAAAGTACAATTTTATCATTATCTTTTCCAATTGTCAATGTACCACGGCCTTAATTATTTCAAGCTTTAGCTTGATACAACCATGGTCGCCCTAATAAAATTGGATATGACAATATAGAGCTTCGTAATTAGAAAATAATATAATCAATTTTGTAGGTAATCCCTACAATTACTGCATTAATACTTTGTAAAATAGCCATAGGTT